AAAGGTCGTGTAGTTCGTAAGTCAGTGACCGAACTGGAAAACAGTATTGAACAGCTAGTGAAGCCTGGAACACACTTGCTTCTCTTCTTCGATGAATTCTTGTTTGATTTCCTAGGGGATGAGTTCTCCAAATCAGGTTAATAATTTCTATGACCACCGATCTGTAACGAACTAATGTTTACTCTAAGACTTTTTTTTTTCTTGCTATTCAAGTGTTTTTACAACTATATTTAAGACGCATTCGAAATTTGTAAAAAAAAAAAATATTCTGTGTTGTCTCACGTACAGGACAATGCGATTATTACTTCCTGAACGTAAAGTTCAAACCCAGTATGGGTGCAATGACGGTCTCGAAAAACAACCCACTACTACAGCCCATTAACGAGAAGTACAATAATCATTATTCCTGAGATGTGTTTCCTTAACTCTAACTGTAATTGTAAGTAGTTAGACATAGCTAACTACTTAAGAGCACTTACACGCATACACACACTTACTTGTACATATTTGTAATATCTTATTAAATGTTAATGTACCTGACGGTACTTAAGAATTATAAATGTGATATGTGCTTTCAGCACAATAATATTGAACTCGAGAGATTGATTTTATTTTGATTGCTGTAATTTAATTTAATTTGATAATATACCTCTAGACTTAATAAATTTATTAAATTTTAATTTCTCTAGTTAGTAGCCTACCAGTTGTAATCCTAAAGCACTATTGAACCATACTGAATTTTAATGGATAATTGGACAAGGATACTGACTACTTGTTACGAAAACCCAGTAACAGGCTGGATGCTAGAAGGGCAGTCCTTTCTAGTATTCACTGGAGATCTCTAAGCTTTTAGAATCGCGTTTTTTGTAACACTATATATGTCCAATGCATGTTCCAGCTGCCCCTGGTAGATGTCTCGATCTCTGTCGTTTTAGATCCCATTTCTAGTTGTCAAATATTCAGCCAGTGGCGAAATGTTTTTTTTAATGTCCTTTCCGCACTGCTTCTCTTGTAATTTAGCTTTTGTTTTGCAACTTTTGTTTTTCGTGTTAAATATTTTCATAATTTCACTTAACCTCTTGGACAACATTCACTTATATTGTTGTATTTTTTAATTAGACGATGAAAGATGTGTCATCTGTCAACTGGTGTGTGTGTGTGTGTGTGTGTGTGTGTGTGTGTGTGTGTGTGTGTGTGTGTGTGTGTGTGTGTGTTGGTGTTTAAACATATGTGTATTTACATATACATATGACATGTGCTTCTATACACATGTGCATATGTTTGCGTTTATTATGTGACATAATCATGCGACATAACAATAGGTTAGTAATCATTTGCCGATTAATTAATTATCAATGCTTAAATCCACAGAGTCCTAACAATAACAGAGTTTGGACTCTACGATCACTGGGTAAATGCTGCTAACCCAAACAACAATGCTTGTCACAATTCTCCAACCAAGCTATCTGTCAGCACGATCCTCTCACTAGGCAACCTCTGGGTAAGAATCACAGCAGGAAAACGTTTTATGAAACTAAAATATGGGACCTTATGGTTTGTAGATTCGAGGCAATGCTAACATCTTGCCTTTTCGTAAACAATAACATTTCTATCTTGCAGGGTATTTTCTGGCCCGGTGGGTAAATCATGCTAGAAAACGTTTTTGAAACTAAAATATTGATGGTCGAGATTCATAGATTTGGTAGCATATTCGAGGCAGCTACATTCTTGTTTATCGTAAAAAGTGAGCATTTCTTGACAGTAGTTTTTCGTGTCGTTGTTGTGGAGAAATCGTTGGCTTCTAGTAACGTTACCTGGAATTAAGTTACTCCTGTAGTGTCTCAGTACGTCAAGAGTCAAAAGTATATACAAGTCTCCAATGAGTCCAGAGGCTGCGGTTTGGAAAATCATCATAGAAATCACCAAATTTCTTACGGTAATGTTATTTCAGTAAATGATTGCTTAAGATTAAAAACATGTTGGCTTGATGGAGTAATTTCATTTACTGGAATTAAAAATTGAAATTTTTAGTTCTAGGACATATATACTAATAAGTATATAAAATATCATCTAAAAATACTAAGACCGATAGGATATATATAAAAATTATTATATACCATCGTAAATTTTTATATATATATTTATTATATTTAGTATTATTTTTTATAAAATTTAAAATAATTATTATGCTTGATATATATTTCATTTTATGATAATTAAAATTAAAATATATATATATATATATATATATATATATATATATATATATATATATATATATATATATATATTATATATATATATATATATATCAACATAATTTTCAGTGATTATAGATTTGTAACGTTAATAATTATAACGACAATATGCAATACCATGTATATTTTTTCACCTCCCTTGTTTGTGTTATTATTAAGGAAAATTTTCAATATTTGTATTAGTAATATCATCATCTTGAGACAGTATATGACAGTATGATAATTATCATCCTCTTGTGCCATAATATGATACTAATCATCGTCTTCGTGACTCGAAAGTTCAAAATATGATTATATAATTCCTATGGATTAAAAATACAAGATATAACAGTCCTTGACTTGGACACACACACACACACACACACACACACACACACACACACACACACACACACACACACACGTATGATAGCACAAATTCACCAATCACAAAGATTCTTCAGAGCTCAGCCAATCATCCTCCGTGAAGATGGCTTGAGGCTAGACTGACGTCGTCGATCCAACACAACTAAGGCGTGGTCAACAAACTGTAGTTAAGACCTGGGACGGGTCTCATGATTGCTTAGTATCCTCTCACAAGTCCAACAATAACAACACATCTCGTCTCCCCTCTGAAGCTCTTCGGTAAGCACTAAGTTGAACTTGTTTCCATGTCTGAATATGATAATGGTATACAATACCAGTTAGGTATCTTTATTCCGAAACGTATCGCCTGCACAGTAGGCTTCTTCAGTCGAGTACAGAGGAGTCAGTAAAAACAGTAAAGACTGATTACATCGTTTTTACATTACTGCTTCTGCTGCTTCCTCTGTACTCGACTTAAGAAGCCTACTGTGAAGGCGATACTTTTCGGAATAAACACATCTGGCTGTTGCACATGTGTCTTACTTAACATTTTGTTTCCAAGGTTCAAGTTGTATGAGTAACGTATCTTGAGCGATCTATCTACAACACTGGGACAAAATTTGGGAGTGACTCACTTGTCTCTTGTTAATATCATTAGAATCAATCCTATACACTTCCCAGGTTTGTATTTAGGGCAAAATTCCTTCGTATGTTTTACTTAATATTCACTACTAACCTATCAACTGGAAGTGAACATCTACGATGTTGCATTCCTTCACGAATCGTTAACAAAACACTGTCAGCGTTACACGAATTTGTAAGCCAGATGTATTTTGTTTTTGTGACGGTACCGTGGCTTTAATTCTTCATATATACTATGGCGTATCAGTGTCGGGGGAATATACAATTTCAAATAGACGAAGAGCGTTCAAAGTTATATATAAAGTATCCTGGGTATCCTGGGTAGCTAACCCTCCGGGGTTAAAAATCCGAAGAAAATCTTTTTTATCTCTCTTATCTTATCCATCCACCGTTCATGGTTACACTGAAGGCTTGTTTTGAGCAGCACCTTAACTCTTCACTCTGCTTGTTGGTTACCTTGCTACATTAGCACAGTCCAACAGTTTCATGTACAGACTATGAAAATTTGGCTGCAGTATTTCTTTGCATGTTTCTATTATATTTGATAGCGTGAAAAACTGTTTGAGGTCCTTTTGCTCATCCTCATATATCCCCAGTGCGCTACCTATAAAAAAATCACAATATTCTTACATGTTACTCTCATCTCAGTTACTAGTAATTCATCTTTTGGCCACTTTGTGCAATTTTCCTACACTTAAAATATCCCAGCTGGGGAAAGCAAGATTACAGCTCTAATATGCAATATCAAACTGACTCATCGGGTGTGAATCTGAAGCCGTGTGTTTTGTCCCATACAGGACCATGGAGCGACTACAACCATGCAAAAAGACCTCTCTGGCTGATCGCGAAATATTTGTAAAGATGTGGAGGAGAGGCAAGTCAGCCCGAGCCATTGCTAGAGAGAGAGGTATCAGTGTTTCCACAGTGTGTAGATGGATAAACCGCTGGAAAAACGAAGGGCATTTGAACACTAAGATCTACGGGGAAATTCTTCTCTCAAAAGTGCACAAGAAAGAGGAGGATTTCAGGCGAAGAATTGTGCCACCGCTGCCATATTTACCAACACTGGACGTCAGTGTTCCTGCCCCTCTGGGATGGTGGCCACACACTCAGTTGTACCCATTCACTGACACTCAGGTTCACGGTCACCAGGATGACCAATATAAAAATTACTGGAATATTTTAAGAGTTAACATGCCACCGTTATACAGACATATTAGTGACAACTCTGCTCTCACTCGACACTCTTCCTTCCCCACCATTGCCTGAAACAAACACATTCTGTTCGATCATTTTACCAATAACTTTAACCTGTCTTTAGACAAACAGCCCACATTAACGAGACAAACTCAAACTCTGAAATCGGGAAAAGAATAATGTATAATCTTTGGATTTACTTACCTTAGCTAATTCTCATTCTTACATAATTAAGATGAATATATGCTAACACAACGTCCTTCACAGGAATTAAAGCTGTTAATGGCTTATCAAACTGGTAAATATCATAAATTTTAAACAGTTTGCGATCTTGACTTATAAATCAGCGATTGTTTTGCCCGTTTAATAGAGCGCAAATTATTATATTTTTTTCAAGTCTAATATTTTTCATAACACATTAAATAGCATGTGAGATATTTTAGTATTACATTAGTTAATATCTTTTAAATTTTGACTAAAATATTCTAAAAACTTCATATATATTATATAGTGAATACATAAGAATTAGGTACCGCTTCTAGAACCGACTCCCCGGGACTCACAGACTCAGAGAAGACAACAAAAGAGAAGAAAATATCTTGATATATCTCACTGTGGCTGTTTGAATATTGTCTTCCTCTATTTCAAAACATATATATATATATATATATGTTTAATAATTCTGTATACAATTTCCAAAAAATTAAAAAAGTTGGCCAGCGAGTCAGGGAATTTTCCTAAAGTTCATTTTCAATTATCTGAGACTTCTTAAAGTAACATATATGTTAAATATGAATAATCCTGAGAAATATATTTGAAACTTTCTGTATATAATAGAACTATAAAATGTGGCACTGACAATGACTTTTATTCCATCGTTGCCTATTGAGTTTATTACCGTGTTGGAAGAATTGCTGGCAGGGTTGAGTCCTCGACGGGTCGTGAAGTGTCGCTTACTGTCGCTAGTATGCAGCAGTGCGATGGAAAGAGCCAGTGAGTTGTGGGTGAAGTGGCGAGTGTAAAGGAACGAATGATAGACGTCCTTGATCTGGATGTTGTGCATCTTACTGATATCTTAGTCTGCTAAGCCGGGGTCCTGACGTACTGGATTAAGACGCACGAATGTTCTCCCGTCTTCCAATAACGTATTCATTTTTCCGCTATAATCTACCTTGTGTATAAATACTAACGCATTTGCTTTGTCTGTTTCGTAAGGTGAAGTCCAAGATCATTCTTTCTGAGCAAAGTTCAGACCTCTACAACACCATTGTCCTCAAAGATTTGTTAAGTTACATCATGAATTAAGGAAACATCCTAGACTTCACCTTACAAAACAGACAAAGGAAATGCGATAATAATTATGGGCAAGGTAGATTATAGTGGAAAATTTAACATGTTATTAGAAGATGCAGGAACTTACGTGCCTCTTAAGCTTTCAACTAACTACTCCTCCCACCTAGATGAGTGGGAATATACGAATATGGTGCGTCACTGGGCACACACCTACCAACCCTCATATTGGTTGTTACCTGATATTATAATACATGACCTATAGATATAACATTACTGACAAATGTACATTATCGAGGAAGCAGCAGTAAGATCCCTAGGGAAGCAAAGCCAAAAATATTGATCGTTCTTGACTTTATCCACACAGAGATGTAATGACAGACATGACGACCTCATAATAGGCATACCACTTGTGGGGTCAAACTAGTGGAATTGTTCTGTTGAAGTGAATGTGACGGCATGTCAGGAAGGAAAAAAATAAACCTATAAAACGAGATAGGCTCTTCACACATATGAGGCATATATGAGATATAAAACATTTTTTCCCCACTTGGCGTTAATAAATACAATCTTGTGTTTTGATCACCTGGGAAAAGTACACCAGGATTATTATGCATGATTACGTGTTAAACCCGTAAATGTCCTACAGAGAAATGTAATCAGGTCTGATCCGAGGAAGGGGAGACTAGCTCCAGTTCGTTGGATACAGAGCACTTCACTAGTATCAAAAACACACACCTAGAAGGGTCTTGCGAGACTACAAGGGGGAGAGGATACAACAGAGGGGACTGAATGCTGTTCATTGGGGAGGGGAGCTGGGTGGAAAGAGAATAGAAAAAATAATGGAATACCTCGCAGGAAAGTAATGAGAGGCAGACAAGAGATGATGGAGGACCTAGCAGAAATATACTGGGATGCTAAGATGTTTGTAAACAAGAGAAGAAAGAGAAAACAAAAGTATTCTATAGAACGATTATGGTTATAGAGAAGCGAGCACATATATAAAATATCAAAGTACATTAGAGCAGCTGACAATGCTATTTAAATGCTCTGATGGGGGAAAAATAATAAGAACAGAATATTTGGAACTCCATCTGAAATCCTCTTCAGCAAATTGAGAATAACAGTTAAATTATTGTTTATACTGTAACAGGCTGTTGCTGCCTTGCAACCAGTCAGAAAAGATCCTATAAGATATCACAAGGACACACTCTGGCTAGCAATGTGGAGATACTAAGAAAAATTGTGAATTTCTCTGGCAATCAGCGAATTCAAATTTCTTCGACAATCAGCGAATTCAGATTTTTTTGACAATCAGTGAATTCAAATTTTTTTATTTCAGGAAATAGATTAGAATGTTCTGAAAAAAATCTTGCATTGTTATATGCATGATTCTCCAACAGGTAACTCAGCAGACAACAATTATTAGCTAAGTGGGGAGCAGCAGGTACAGCTAGATGTACGAAAGATGGTCGGAGCTGTGCTACTGCAGGTGTTACTGGCCACTCTCGTCTTCCTAGCTGCTTCACAGCTGTCAAAACCTCACGGTATTTCAACAGTGATCTTGGACCACTCTCAGTCTACCCATTAAAATCCTTGAGGATGTTTAAATTTGTTAGCAATTTGTAATTTAAAAAATCTCTTTTGTTTATATGGAGAAGAGTAATTTGTGAATTACTGCATATTTATTCTGGATATTATACATATTTATTCTGGATATTATACATATTTATTCTGGATATTATACATATTTATTCTGGATATTATACATATTTATTCTGGATATTATACATATTTATTCTGGATATTATACATATTTATTCTGGATATTATACATATTTATTCTGGATATTATACATATTTATTCTGGATATTATACAGATTTATTCTGGATGATAATATAATACATATTTATTAGATAATGTGGATAGACTAGCATTACTGAGAGGAGCTGTGACTGCTGTGCTGGAAGCAGCATCACAGCAGCGCTGTTCTCTCATCCTCTTCACTGATGGTGCCACAATTCTTTCCTCAGTGCTCAAGGTTAGTTTCCAGCCCTTGTTTTATTACTTTTATTGTCCTCACTAGCATCAATACACTTCTTCAACCACGTTGATGCTGGTCAAGGCCTCTTCGTACATTTCATTTAAACTACTTTCATTTCATCTGATCAATTCTGAGTACTATTTCTCAGGCCTTGCATGAACTATATGAAGATTACCTTAGGTTAGGTAAGGTTTGTCAGGAAACAGGACAAGTGTTTCCTGTTGTTGTAGATTTGCTGGAATAATCGCCTGTCCCGGCCCTTTTCCAAGAGGTGGCCTGGCCTTGGCTCCCTATCGTTGGAGTGTCTCAGATCAATGTCTGCCATGGGAGGAGGTACAAGTACCTCCTCATCTTCTGGGACTAGCTGCCCCCAGGTCTAGCCCCATTTCCCGCCCCTACCAGGCTCAAAGGGAGGAGCTAGGTACCTTGGGCTGCCACAACCCCGTTCCCTCCACACTGGGCTGGAAGGTGTGGCAGCTGCATAGCAGCAAACGATGTCAGAAGGTACAAAAGCAGTAAGCACCACAGGATCCTTTTGAAGCCACACCCCAGCTTCGGGCATTAAGCCCGAGCGCTGGGGAAGTTCAAGAATGCCTCTTGCCGTGTGTGTTGCTGCTGTTACTACGCTTGTCCGCTGCACTCTGAAGTATTTCCTAACGCGGGTCTTAGTTATATATGACGATCAGCCACTGAAGGGCCAGTGGCCACTGGAGGGCCAATGGAAGGCCTCGGTCAGATGGCCGAGGCTTTACACTGGCTTAACGGTCCATCCCATTAAAAATAATGGCTATGAGTATAATCATTAAGTAATATATATCTGAAGACTTTAGCATTTTCTCATTAACGTAAATATAATTAGTAATAACTGATAAACGATATACATGTTGAGCTTAATAAACATTTAAATATTCCATGAGGCATGTTATTGTAAATGTCATTTATATTATCATATTTTGGTACATTTGACCATTAAGTCGACAGTCAGGGGTTGTCAGGGGTTGTCAGGGGTTGTCAGGGGTTGTCAGGGGTTGTCAGGGGTTGTCAGGGGCTGTCAGGGGCTGTCAGGGGTTGGATGCTGGGACTGACAACAACGTATCCACGATATGATTCTATCAATTTCCTTTATATATACCGAGAGTTTTACATCCGCCGGTATATATACTCTGAGAGTTTACCTTCCCTTGTCTGACAGTTACAACTGTTCCAAAGATCGTTGCTAAGGATCTTCAGCAGTCGTAACACCTACAGCAGAGAGAAAACTGTTTTTCACTTTCAGGAAGAAAGTCAGCTGTGGTCTCCCTGGGGTGTCGCAGTGTTCCAGGTGGCAGATCACGACGTCCAGGACGATAACGTCACACAGACGCAGCTCCGACAGATGGTCGCCCAGGCTAAGCGGGTACGTCACTTTCCCATTACTACTGAGGAGAATACATTTTCACATTACTTTTAAGAAGGGTACATTACATTCACATTATTGAGGAGGGTATGTCACTGTCACATTACTGAGGAGGGTATGTCACTGTCACATTACTGAGGTGGATACATCACTGTCACATTACTGAGGTGGATACATCATTCTCACGTTCCTGCTGAGTAGTACACGTCACACTGATAATACTACATTGCCTGGATAACAACTTCCAGTTCGTTCTTTTTTCCGGTCTGAGTTACGGTTCCGAGTCTGTATCGTAAGAGCCGCCACACTGACCACTAAGCTAAGGAAGTGACACTGCTTTCACAGCTTCGGCAGGTTTCGTGGTGCGTGACGGTGGTGGTGGTGAGTGACGACACTGCCTTCCTCGCCGCCTTCGTCGAGTACTCCCACAAGGATCGCTTCCTGGTGCCCACAACGAGGGTACTTGTTCTTACAAATAATTCCCATGTCAATGTTCCAAGTCTTAGTCGGGGTTTTTCCAAGCTGAACGCGTTGATCCTCGTCCTTAGCGACTCGCAGGAATACCTACAGTAAGAACCACGAAAAAAAATGTAATGTTTGTAAACTAGTAATGAAAATAGTCATGGAAATTATAGTAAGGCTTAATTACGATGTCAAATAATTTAAAAAATTCATCTTTGCTAAAATCTGCGTAACCAGATGTAGCAAAATATTAACTAAAATAGGTAAAATCAGCTAAAATTTCATCAGCAAAATACATTTGTAATGTTGGGATTGATTTTCATGGAGTCATACCACCAAAAATAATATAATTCATACTTGCATGACAAAAACAGATCATGCTGAACAAGTGACTGCCGTTCATTTTACCTCACTTCATACAGATGCAATATGTACATCCATCTGCCTTACGTTCCCCTGGGATCCTCAGCCTCCCAAGTGGCTTCCTGGACACCGCACAGAGGACTCCTTCTAACCTCCCATCTTCAGCTCTTCCCTGACAAGTTCTCCACGTATCCATTTCACTGCATTTAAACCTTTGCTTTGTTGATGAATAAAAAGGCACAATACAAGACTGTAGTGTGTCTTGTAAGACTGTAGTGGGTCTTGTAAGACTGTAGTGGGTCTTGTAAGACTGTAGTGTGTCTTGTAAGACTGTAGTGTGTCTTGTAAGACTGTAGTGGGTCTTGTAAGACTGTAGTGTGTCTTGTAAGACTGTAGTGGGTCTTGTAAGACTGTAGTGGGTCTTGTAAGACTGTAGTGGGTCTTGTAAGACTGTAGTGGGTCTTGTAAGACTGTAGTGGGTCTTGTAAGACTGTAGTGTGTCTTGTAAGACTGTAGTGTGTCTTGTAAGACTGTAGTGGGTCTTGTAAGACTGTAGTGGGTCTTGTAAGACTGTAGTGGGTCTTGTAAGACTGTAGTGGGTCTTGTAAGACTGTAGTGGGTCTTGTAAGACTGTAGTGGGTCTTGTAAGACTGTAGTGGGTCTTGTAAGACTGTAGTGGGTCTTGTAAGACTGTAGTGGGTTTGTAAGACTGTAGTGTGTCTTGTAAGACTGTAGTGGGTCTTGTAAGACTGTAGTGGGTCTTGTAAGGACTGTAGTGTGTCTTGTAAGACTGTAGTGTGTCTTGTAAGACTGTAGTGAGTCTTGTAAGACTGTAGTGGGTCTTGTAAGACTGTAGTGGGTCTTGTAAGACTGTAGTGTGTCTTGTAAGACTGTAGTGAGTCTTGTAAGACTGTAGTGTGTCTTGTAAGACTGTAGTGTGTCTTGTAAGACTGTAGTGGGTCTTGTAAGACTGTAGTGGGTCTTGTAAGACTGTAGTGGGTCTTGTAAGACTGTAGTGGGTCTTGTAAGACTGTAGTGAGTCTTGTAAGACTGTAGTGGGTCTTGTAAGACTGTAGTGGGTCTTGTAAGACTGTAGTGGGTCTTGTAAGACTGTAGTGGGTCTTGTAAAGGCTGTAAGTGTGTGTCTTGTAAGACTGTAGTGGGGTCTTGTAACTGTTGTGGGTCTTGTAGACTGTAGTGTGGTCTTGTAAGACTGTAGTGTGTCTTGTAAGACTGTAGTGTGTCTTGTAGACTGTAGTGGGTCTTGTTAAGACTGTAGTGGGTCTTGTAAGACTGTAGTGGGTCTTGTAAGACTGTAGTGAGTCTTGTAAGACTGTAGTGGGTCTTGTAAGACTGTAGTGGGTCTTGTAAGACTGTAGTGGGTCTTGTAAGACTGTAGTGGTCTTGTAAACTGTAGTGGGTCTGTAAGACTGTAGTGGCTGAAATAGGGGCTTGTAAGACTTGTAGTGGGTCTTGTAAGACTGTAGTGGGTCTTGTAAGACGTAGTGGGTCTTGTAAGACTGTAGTGGGCTTAACATCTGCGTAAGACTGTAGTGGTCTTGTAAGACTGTAGTGGTCTGTAAGACTGTAGGTAAATGAGTCTTGTAAACTGTAGTGGGTCTTGTAAGACTGTATGGGTCTTGTAAGACTGTAGTGGGTCTTGTAAGACTGTATGGGTCTTGTAAGACGTAGTGGTCTGTAAGACTGTAGTGAAGTCTTGTAGACTGTATGAGTCTTGAAAAGACTGTAGTGGCTGAAGACTAGTGGCTTAGACTGTGTGGTCTTGTAACGACTAGGGGTCTTGTAACTGTATGGGCTGTAAGACTTATGGTCTTGTAGACTGTAGTGGATCTTGTAAGACTGTAGTGGTCTTGTAAGACGTATGGGTCTTGTAAATCTGTAGTGGGTCTTGTAAGACTGTAGTGGTCCTGTAGACATGTAGTGAGTCTTGTAAGACTGTAGTTAGTCTTGAATAGAGAGTGGGGTCTTGTAAGACTGTAGTGGGTCTTGTAAGACTGTAGTGGGTCTTGTAAGACTGTAGTGGGTCTTGTAAGACTGTAGTGGGTCTTGTAAGACTACCGTGACTGGAACAATACACAAACAACCTGCACACAGGAGAGACTTATGACATCGTTTCTGTCCGAATTATATCAAACTCGTCGAAGTCGAACTGAAATGCTGCAATAAGAATCTTTCTCCTACTGCGGATACCATTTAATACTCATCTTTTATAAGTCTCTCTCCTTTTGAAAAACACATTTAAAAATCTACAAAAGAACCTTTGATCTACTAATACGTAGTCTGGGAAATAGTTGTCATTGCGCACTGCATCATGTCACGGGACAGTCTACAAAAATATATCAACCCATACCACGGGCGGGGATAGAACCCGCGATCTGATCGCGGGTTCTATCCCCACCCGTGGTATGCTTTGTTTGCGATCGTGTCATAACGATTTCGTGAGTCATGATTCAAAAATATATCGTTCTCTTCCAGCTTGTTCAATCGGCCGAATCTGTTAGTTGCAACGGAGCCGTATCTCACACACGAACCTGTGATAGTTGACGACCTGAATGCTCCAGGAGGGAAGAGACTGACATTCTCTAGTCCCATTGCTAATGTAATGCAAGTCCTCGCAGACACTACCAATTTTACGTGAGTTTTTAACATATGTCTGGTGTTTCTAGAAGAATGGACGTGTATGTGTGTGCGTTAGTGCATGCGTATATCATACGCTGATATGCTTGTGTAGGTACGCATTAGTGCTTGATTTGATCTCAGTACGTAGTGTGCATTTCATTAAAGTGTGAATATCTGTAAGTTGGTACTTGAGTTTTGGTCTTTATTTCAGTTTTATTGTACTGATCGTATATTCATTATAATTTTATTATCGCAATTATAATTTTAACAGGTACACGTTTGTGAGGCCTCGTGATGGTCTGTGGGGAGAGAGACAGAAGGATGGGTCCTGGTCTGGCATGATAGGTATGGTGAGCAGGGAGGTAGGTATAGTGAGTGATGGTGAGCAGGGAGGTAGTTGTAGTGAGTGATGGTGAGCAGGGAGGTAGTTGTAGTGAGTGTTGGTGAGCAGTGAGTAGTTGTAGTGAGTGATGGTGAGCAGGAGGTAGTTGTAGTGAGTGTTGGTGAGCAGGGAGGTAGTTGTAGTTAGTGATGGTGAGCAGGGAGGTAGTTGTAGTGAGTGATGGTGAGCAGGGAGGTAGTTGTAGTGAGTGTTGGTGAGCAGGGAGGTAGTTGTAGTTAGTGATGGTGAGCAGGGAGGTAGTTGTAGTGAGTGATGGTGAACAGGGAGGTAGTTGTAGTGAGTGTTGGTGAGCAGAAGGTAGTTGTAGTAAGTGTTGGTGAGGAGGGAGAGTATTGTAGTGAGTGTTGGTGAGCAGGGAGGTAGTTGTAGTAAGTGTTGGTGAGCAGGGAGGCAGTTGTAGCGAGTGTTGGTGAGCAGGGAGGTAGTTGTAGTTAGTGATGGTGAGCAGGGAGGAAGTTGTAGTGAGTGTTGGTGACAGGGAGGTAGTTGTAGCGAGTGTTGGTGAGCAGGGAGGTAGTTGTAGTGAGTGTTGGTGAGCAGGGAGGTAGTTGTAGTGAGTGTTGCTGAGCAGGGAGGTAGTTGTAGTGAGTGTTGGTGAGCAGGGAGGTAGTTGTAGTTAGTGATGGTGAGCAGGGAGGTAGTTGTAGTGAGTGATGGTGAGCAGGGAGGTAGTTGTAGTGAGTGATGGTGAGCAGGGAGGTAGTTGTAGTGAGTGATGGTGAGCAGGGAGGTAGTTGTAGCGAGTGTTAGTGAGCAGGGAGGTAGTTGTAGCGAGTGTTGGTGAGCAGGGAGGTAGTTGTAGCGAGTGATGGTGAGCAGGGAGGTAGTTGAAGCGAGTGATGGTGAGCAGGGAGGTAGTTGAAGTGAGTGATGGTGAGCAGGGAGGTAGTTGAAGTGAGTGATGGTGAGCAGGGAGGTAGTTGAAGTGAGTGATGGTGAGCAGGGAGGTAGTTGTAGTGAGTGATGGTGAGCAGGGAGGTAGTTGTAGTGAGTGATGGTGAGCAGGGAGGTGGTTGTAGTGAGTGATGGTGAGTAGGGAGGTAGTTGTAGTGAGTGA